GAGCCGGACGACAGGGTGAGGGGGGCTGCGGGGGCTCCCCCGGGGCAGCGGGGGCGGGGCGACTCCGAGCAGGGGCTGGCCGCTGGGGTGTGGGCCCGGCGGGAGGGGCGCGGGGGGGCGGGGGGGAGGAAAGGCCAGGAGAGAGGCTGCTGCGGGGAGGGCGGGGAGGAGTCAGCCGCCCGCTCTGCGCCCGCAGCGGCCCCTGGGTTACTTCCCTGACATCCACTTCGTGGAGGACGTCCCGCGGCGGAGCATCGAGACCTTCCGCCAGCGCCTGGCCCAGATCTCGCACAACATCCGCCAGCGCAACAAGTGCCTGCCCATCCCCTACTACTACCTGGACCCCGTGCTGATCGAGAACAGCATCTCCATCTAGGACCGCCCTCCCCTCGCCTCTCCCCGCCCCGCGCCCGGCTATTTAAGAAAATACAGACAACATAAAACAAAAAAACACACAAAAAACACTTCCCGCGCGAGCCCTGCGTCTGTCCTGTCGGTGCGTGCAGGCAGCTGCGGTTCCTGCCGGGACGGGGGGGGGGGGGGGGGGGGGGTGAAGGGGGTTCAAAGGTGATGGGGAGGGAAGGGCCGGCTCTCGCGGCTGTTTTCCACCCCCGCGGGGGTCCAGGTAGGTGCAGGGCAGCGTCAGGCCTCGGTTCTGCTCCCCGATGTCCCACGAAATAAGGGCCAGACGACTCCCGCGGGCCGCTGCGGGCCCCTCGGTGAAGTGTCCCGCCGGGGACCGCAGGAGAGACGGCTGGGACCTCTGCTCCGTGATGCCGCAGCCTCATCTTTCAACCCAGAGCGATTCCGGTCCGTCTTCAGCCCCCCAGCTCAGGCACCCAGGCCACCAGGGACCCCAGCCACCAGAAAACCCACTCGAACCACACAGACCACCATCCGAGACCCGCCCACCTAGGAACCTAGACCACCCAACCTGTCCAACTTGAAACATACACCTCCAGACACCCAGGCCGAGGGACTGCCCTCCGCCCGCGTGCAGGAAACCCAGACCCCTCTCAGCTCCCCTGCTGGGAACCCATGCCACCCGCACCACACCCTCAGAAACCCGCGTCACTGCAGGCCCGTCCATGAAAGGGCCCAGCCTGCTAAGTGTCCCGCCAAGGAACCCATTGTCCCCAGACCCCTCCTCACCCACCGGCTCTCCTGGAACCCGAGACACCTCCTCTCCCACCCCGCGCCCTGCTCGCCGTGTCCTTGGTTTCACCGCTGATATCCCAGAAGAGCAGGAGGGCAAGGCCGGTGATTGACCCCAGGGAATGAGGCCACAGATCTAGCTGGGGGGCTGCAGGAGCCCCAGGTCTACAGCGGTGGGAATCCTGGGCGCCCAGGCCCGGAATTCAAACCGAGCCCCCACACTCAGTAAGCACAGGGCTGCCAGTGCTCCTGCCAGGCCCGCTCCTCCTGTGGCCCTGCTTGGCCGCCAGGGCTGCCATCCGCTCACCCCACCGCTGTTGCTGGCAGCATGGTGGGCTGAGCAGGGGAGATACTTGACAGGGCCAGCGAAGCTCTCGAGGGCACCAAGGACCCCGAGCCAGGAGTGGGGTGGAGAGAATGGAGCTGACACCCAAGGGGCTGCTGCCCTGGGGAAGTGGGGTCCAGAGGGTGGAAGCCTGGGACGGGCACCTCACCTGAGCTCATGCGGCTTAGAAACCCTCCTGGACAAGCCCTCCCTGAGCCAGGCCTGCAGCTCCGAGTCCCTGCTCACTGCTCACTGCAGTGTCGTCTGGGCAGCCGATGCCTAGGGATCCGGGAACACAGGTGACTAGCAGTTGGGAGGTGATGCAGCCCATGGGGTGTGAGTGACAAAAGTTGCTGAGACCAGCTGCCCCAGAAGGAAGACATTGAGGCCCGAGAAGGAAAATGGCCAAGCACACAGTTTATAAACCACTGAGCCGAGCTTCCTCTCCACCAGGGGGCGCCAACAGAGGGCCCGAGAGCCAGAGCTGGTCTGCAGATGCGTTTTAATAGGATGCCAAGTTGAATCAAGGGCCAGCACTTAAACACTAGAAAATGTCTAATTGCTCTTGCAAACCTAAAGATCTGGCTGTAGTCATAGCTGAGGTGCCGCTGTCCCCATCAGACAAGCACGAGTTCTCCACCAGCCACAGTCCCTGCCCACCTCTCGCCCCTGACGTTTTGCGCTTGCTGGCTCGGCAGGCATTTACAGTCCAGCCTTTTGAGCTTGATCAAACCACAGGGGAGGAGTACACGTCAGCTGCCACCCTCACCACCCCCTGCCCCCGCTGGGTTGGGACTAGCAGGTTGGGTCCATCTCCACTGTTGGTTCCCAAAGGGCAGAGAAGGGTCTGCCTTGCTCACCACGGCATCCGCCCAGCATAGTAGGGCTCGTGAAGGGTGTGTGGATCTGTTACTAAGAAGGGTTTTGAGGAGCCCAGCCGGCTTGGCTCAGTGGTTGAGCATCAACCTATGAACCAGGAGGTCACAGGTTCAATTCCCAGCCAGGGCACATGCCTGGGTTGCAGGCTCCATCCCTAGTAGGGGGCGTGCAGGAAGTAACCAACCCATGATTCCCTCTCATCATTGATGTTTCCATCTCTCTCTCTCTCTGAAATCAATTTTAAAACTTTTTTTTTTTAAAGGAGGGTTTTGACACAGGCAGCTCCAGCTATGGGTGTTCATAGGTGGGTGGGGCTGGGGGGCGGTCCCTGAAGTCTTCAAGGGGAGGTGGGGCACGAGCTGGGCCTGAAGAAGGGGCAGTGGTTGGATAAGGAGGGAGGGAGAATCGGGGTGCCTGGCCTCCCTAGACTCAGTGTGTGCTGAGGAGGAAGAATGGAAAGGGGGCAAATTCCACAAGAGCTGCGGCTGCCACAGTAAACACTACATTCCACGCGGCAAAACACGGAGTCATGTGAGGCCCATGAGCTCTGCTGCCCTAGATCCCAGCGCCTGGGAAGGGTTGTTATGCAGGTTAATGGGGGGAGATGGGAGGCCAGAGACATCCCAAGGAGGTCTCTCGTGAGGAAGATTCAGAAGGAAAACCTGGTTTTATGGGGTGAATACTAATAACTAATGCTGCCAGGCCAGTGAGGCCCAGTGGTCGAGCATCAACCAGGAGGTCACACTGTCCAATTCCTGACAGGGCACATGCCCAGTTGCTGGCTCGATCCCCAGTAGGGGGCGTGCAGGAGGCAGCCTATCAATGATTCTCTCTTAACATTAATGTTTCTCTCTCCCCTCTCCATCCCTCTCTCTGAAATCAATAAGAAATATATTTTAAAAAATAATAGCTTATTGGCCATTTGTATATCTAATTTGGAGCAGTCTATTAATATTCTTTGCCCAGACCATCCATTCTTTTTTCTGTTTTTGTACAGGAGAAGCAGGGGCCTTTATTAGGGTCTGGCAGACGTGGTGGAGGTGATAGCCCAGGCCTGGGCCTAGGAAGAGGCAGAACAAGGTCCCTCAGAGCAGGAACCCAGCCCCCCCTGCTCCACCAGCAACCCCGCCCCCTGGCAGGTTCCTCCCCCAGCCTCCCCCGGTCCCTGGGAACACAGAGCACCAAGAGCTGATGAGCGGGACCCTCCAGGGCCACAGCGGGGAGTGGTGTGCAGGATCTGCCTCCCCACAGTGGGCGATCTGGGGAGCTCCGTGCATCCTCCCCACCACGATAAAGTGGGGACGCCCTCTCTTTGTCCCCCAGAACCGAAAAAACTCTTGTTCTTCGTGACTGGGGAGAGGAAGAGGGGCTTGGCCTCTAAGCTGGACCTGGGGGGGGGGCCAGAAGTGAACCCCCCAGGAGTTTCTGAGGCTCCAACTTGGCACTTGCAGTGTCTCCACTTGGCCAGGGCAGCTGACAGGCCAGTGGGATCTGCTCCAAAGACACGTGAGGGTTTCAGAGTGAGGGCTTCCCCCACGCCAAATTCATCTCTGTGTCCCCAGGGCAGCCCCCGGTGGCCAGGGAGCAGCTGCCAGGGGCCAGTAGGAGTGGCCACCCTTGGGGCCAAAGGGCCAGGCAGGGCCAGCCAGCTCTGGGAGGTAGGCAGGGCTCTCGTCCAAGTGGGACAAAGGGACTGTGTCTTCCTCACCGACCGGCCTGTCAAACCCGGCCTTGAGCGCTGGACGCTGATGGCCCGGGAAGGCCAGAGAGAAGAGGGCCTCAGGCTCGCACACGAACTTGTACACATAACGCTCGCCAGCCACCTCCTCAGGCCCAACTGGTTTGAACTCCATCCCCCGGCCCACCCAGGCAGTGAAGTGGGCATTTGTTGGGTCACTGGCAGGGCCACCAGGAACCGCCACCCTGCAAGGGACTCGGCGCTGGCAGGGTGGTCTCTCTCGGAACGCTCCAACCCCTTCCTGCTTGATGTCTCCTTCAGACTTCTCAGGGTCGACGCAGACATCATCTGGGACTGGACGCCAGGTTTCTCGCAGCCAGAGCCACGGTCCGGCCACCTGGAGAGGGTCGGGGGAAACCCCCTGGGTGACGGTACCCCGACACATACCCAGGGAATCCGAGTCATAGGCGAAGTCCGTCTGCTCTTGTTTGATCGCCAAACCCGCCCCGGGGACCTGTGCCCACTGACCGCACCCTGGCGCCTGACCAGTTATTCGTACAGGGGGTCAAGGTATTCCTGCCTGAAGCTCTGCTGGGGGTAGGCTGGGCAGGGCTCCTCCTGCTTGTGTTGGTCGGGGTTCCCGGCCCCTCCCTGAGAGGATGTGAAGGAGTGGCCAGTCTCCCGGGGCGGCAGGGAGACTGAGCGACGCTCCCAGAGGCACCATGGCCAGGGTGGGGCAAGGAGTCAGCTGGTGGGATACAGCATCTGGGACGGGGCTACCCTTCCTACAACAAATGCTAAATTCTCTGGCAGAATCATGTACGGAGACTGGGGGTGCCTTTGAGGGTGGGGGATGGGCAGCACATTGTGGGCTGGGCGGAGCTGGGCTGCAGAACAGAGAGGAGTCATGCAGGGGCCTGAGGAGAAGGCATGGCAGTTCCTGGTCCGTTCCCTGTGGCCTGAGGGCAGGAGGAAGAGGCCAGTTTTTGGGGCTCCTCTTGGAGGAGGATGGAGGTCAGAGGACAGACTGAACCTAGGGGATTCTCGGGGGTCCCAGACAGCCCTGGGGCACTCGGGGGCTGTGGTGCCCAGAGAGGGACACGGTGCTGCCTCTGCTAGGATGAGGAAAGACAGAGCAGCTGCTTTCCGAGGGGTCTAGTAACAGAGGGCCACGGTAAGCTGAACCCCAATTCCCAGGGGGCCACACGCAGGAGGGATCCAAACGACACGAGGACCCAAAGCTTTTCCAGTTTGAAGGTCCTCTTTATGAAGAGGAAGCAGCCCTAGCCGGTTTGGCTCAGTGGATAGAGTGTCGGCCCGCTGACTGAAGGGTCTGAGGTTCAGTTCTCATCAAGGGCACTTGCAAGGGGGGTGTGCGGGAGGCAACCAATAGAAGTGTCTCTCTCAC